CTTTCATCCAACTGCTTCGTCTTCACGGACTTAGCCTCAGCATAATTGACTCTACTACAGCCACGCTCAAAATCTCATATGTCAACCTTTTACATACTATATACAAGTATGCTGAACTCCATCCTCTATGTCTACGCTATATTTATCTACGTCTCTTCCGTACAAACACTCCTAGAGTATACATATCCTTCTATATATATATTTCTCTATCTATATATTTCTGTGTATATATATCTATATATATCTCAGATATATATGCGACGATCTACCTATATCTAGATCCCTTATATATATTTATATATCTCTATATATCCTATTTATATATAATTTTATGTATATCTATATATATATATAAAAGTCAAACATAAAATATATATTATATATATCTATATATATATATATATATCTATATATCTACACTATATACATATAATATATAGATATATATTATATATATATTATATAATATCATATATATATATATATATATAAATAATTATATAATAGACCTATATAGGGGTCTCCCGGTGTACCTCCTGGAGGACACCTGGAGGACCACCTGGAGGACCACCAGGTATGGCCGGCGGCCCTCCCAGAGGGCCCCCAGGCGGGCCTCCAGGCGGCTCACCTCCCATGTTCCCCGGCATGCTCCCCAATGTTGGAAAGACCTCTCTCCCCATGGGCTTCAGCCCGCCGCGTGAGGGATCACCACCAAAAGAGAATCCCGATGAGATCGATCTCGAAAGCGGTACAGCAGAGGCCATGCGCGAATGGGAGGCCATTCGGGCTGCTTTTGAGACCCTGCGGGCTCGGTTCGGACCAGAGTTTGAACCCCTCGGCCCAGAGTATGCCGACCGCAGAGATTCGCCGTTCGGGCCAACGCTGCAGTACCGCACCTTCTCTGTCGCTGGCGTATGGCTCAACTACTACATGTGTCTGATCCACTTGTACCGGACACACCCCATGATGCCGCCCGCAGCTATGATCGCCCAGGGCATTCAGGCGCGGCACACGGCGCACTTTGCGCAAGAGATTGGGCGAATCGCGGCAGGCCTCTGCGATGACTTGAGAGATGTGACTGAGATTAGTACGCTGGTTGGTGCGGCCCTCGTCGAGTGCTCTTTGCCTCTTTTTGTATCAGGCATTCAGGTAAGAAACGAAAACAGCTGCTCCCCTACGCCCGGATGCTCAGATGACTGACAGCTGGATTATAGTTCCAAGATGACGTCCAACGAAAATGGATCATCAAGCGGCTGCACGATATCGCGCGATTGACAGGTTGGCAGTCGGCAAGAATGATTGCTGAAGGATGCGAGTCTGGATGGCGTAAGGCGGCTGAGATGGGGCGGGGGCCGCCATACACGAGGGATCCCAATCTCATGAACGAGATCCCCAAGTCGATGATCAGAGGCCCCCCCAAGATCATGGCGCGGATCGAAAAGCTTGACAGTGACGATGCCAAGCTGGCGGTGGCTCGGTCAGAGAGGGCGGCCTATGCCATTGGTCTGATTGGTATCGAGCAGGAGTTGAGCAGGCTAGATCTGAAGGAAGGCAACTAAATGCTGTAGATAGTCGCACATCAGGCACTCTGACTGGGAGGGGAGCTTCATTGCTCCATTGATCCAGGAATCTGACCCCTATTCCCCAAAGCGGGACCCGCGCCCTGTTGAGACGCCTTCACTGACAAGGAAGGGATTGTCTCTTGCACACATCACGACAGACTTGGCGCCCCAGGCATATACATGCATACATGTCGTTCAATACACCCCTAATGGTACACAGGCAGATTGTCTGAAGGCGGCCTGCCTGATTGTGTGGGACATGCCTCCTACCCACCTGTCTGTCTTGCTGCTGCTGCTGCTGCTGCTGTGCCAGACTGCCTTGGCTGATTCTATTTAATTCGTGATAATATCCAATCATCAGTTCGCCGGAAGTCGCTCGACGACGGCGGCCATCTCTTCGTCCGTGTATATTCTGAACCCCTTTTCCTTCGTCACGCTCGCCAACTGGACGTTCTTCGAGTCAAGCTTCTCCTCCATCACCTGCTTCAGCGTCTTGAGGACGAGCGTCTCGGCATCCTCGATGGTGAGAAAACTAGGGGGGAGGCCCGGCAGTGTTAGCGGAGCACCCCCCCCCCCCCCCGCGCGAGGTGAGGTCAAAGTCGGACAAACCTTGAGAAAATTCGTTCTGCAGCTCGGCCTGCGCGCCCTCGGAGCCAGAGCCGATGGCTTTGGCGTCATA